TCATCCATGCATTCTTCATTCCTCCTTCCACTCCATCCATGTATTCCATTCATTCTCCACTCATCTATCCATCCATTCATTCATTCATCCATGCAGGCATTCCTTTCATTCATAATATGACCCATCTCCCCACTCCATTTATTTATTCATTCATCTGACCACTCACTCCCAGTCCATTCATTCATCCATCTACTCCATGTAGTCATCCCTTCCTTTGATTCATTCATTCATCAGTCTACCCACCCATCCACGTACTCTTTTTTCATTCATTCATTCATTCATTCATTCATTCAATTACTCCTTGTTGAGTGCTTACCGGGTTCCGGGCATTGTGGGTTTAGCATCAACCAAGACAGATATGGGCCTTGCCCTCAGAGAATTCATCTCGTAGTGCAGTGCTGCCTGGTAGAACTTTCTGTGTTGACGAAAACATTCTATGAATCCGCGCTGCCCCATGTGGAAGCCACCAGCCATATGTGGTCTGAGCGCTTGAGATGTGGCGTGAGTGCTACCCAGAGACTGGCTATTATATTTCATCAGTTTTCGTTTGGATCTTAATCCATTCACGCTTATTTAGTTCTTGTCATTTTTTTCCCGTTTTTACCACAATGGAAATAGAAACAGCAAAACACTCACCAACTTACCAGTTTGCTTTAAATGAACTAAAATGTAAATAACCACACAGGGCAAGCGGCTCCCTCACAGTTGTGGTGTGGCAGGGGTGGGGAACAGGTAACAAACAAGCACACCCCATGTGTTACCATGTCAGTCAGGTTGGGAGTCAGGAGCCCTGGTGGTGCAGTGGTTCAGCACACAACTGCAAACCCAAAGATTGGTGGTTCGAACCCACCCAGTTGCTCTGTGAGAGACAGACTTGGTGGTCTGCGCTAGGGCAGTTCTACTCTGTCCTCTCAGGTCACTATGAGTCAGAATTCAGTCAAAGGCATTGGGTCCATGACTTCTCCATCTCCACAAAGGCATTACCATCCACGGCCTTCCTCAAGCCAGGAGGTGTAAGTCGTGATGTCTGATCCCTTTTGTGATGACCACAGGGCAGTGGTTAGGAGCATGGACTCAGGGCCCACGCTGCCTGGGTTCGAAGCCCAGACCTGCAGCTTACAACTCATGCGGTCCAGAGCAAGCTAGGAAGTCTCTCCATGCCAGCAGGTACCACCTGGCACCCTCTTGATTTTGTTTGTCTGTGCCTTGCAGGACAAGGCACTGGTGTAGTGGTTAAGAATTGGGCTACGGCACCACCAACTGCTCCTTGGGAGAAAGACGGGGCTTTCTAATCCCATAAAGAGTTACAGTCTCAGAAACTCACAGGGGCAAGTCTACCCTGTCCGATAGGGTCGTTATGAGTTGGCATCAACTGGAAGGCAGTGAGTTTCGGGTTCTTTACCTTGTGGGATGTCTCCTGCTGCTCTGAGGTGTGGTTGGTTCATACCCTTGAGGGCCTGGAGCAGCCCCTGACACACTGCACGCCTTCAGCAAACATTTGTGAACTCATTCATTGATGCTTCTCCCACCTTCACTGTCACCTGTGACTCCATTGCTGTCAAATCGATTCTGACTTATTGTCACCCTATATAACCAAAGACCAGCCAAACCCACTACCACCGAGGCCATTCCAACTCATAGCGACGCTATAGGACAGAGTTGTCCCAGGGTCCCTCCAAAGCTGTAAATCCTTACAGAAGCAGACTGCCTTCCTCCTGTGGAGCCGCTAGTGGATCTGAACTGCCAACCTTTCTCTTAGCAGTCAAGTGCTTTAATCCCCCAAACCAAACCTGCCATTGAGAGCAACTCTTATAAAACTGCCCCATACGGTTTTCTGGGCTGCCATCTTTATTGGAGCAGATTGCTGGGGTTCAAAACACCAACCTTCCGGTGTGCAGTTGAGTGCTTAACCAGTGCACCAGCGGGGCACCTCTTGAGTGGTATCATCTTGCACCCAGGACCTTGTGTCACGAGTGAGCAGGGTGTTTGCATCAATGGGGTAGCCACAGACTGGTAGGAGGAGGTGACCCGTGAGCAGAGATGTTCATTATAGTAATAAAGAACACTTTTGCTGAGTTGAGCTGTATGTAAGGTCAGCAGTTCAAATCCCCCAGCTGCTCTTCAGGAGGCAGATGGGGCTTTCTACCTCCATTAAGGGTTACCATCTGGGAAACTCACATGGGGTCAGTTCTACCCTGTCCTGTAAAGTCACTATAAATTGACATTGACTTGATGGCAGTGCATTTTTTTAAAATTCCCTTCCCCTCCCCTCAGTGAGTGCCGCGCAAGATTCTGTTCCTCCATTCATTTTATCCCGGCCTAATGATCTGCTCCGTTTGCATCAGTTTACCACTCTGGTGGAGGAGAAGGGCATTGCCGGAAGCCACACAGCCAGGCATGAGGGGCCCCAGAGATGCCACTTCTCACCACTGCCCTGCCTCTCAGAAGGCGCCCTGGTAGCACAACAGTTAAGCAATCGGCTGCTAACTAAAAGCTTGACGGTTCGAAACCCCCTCCCTCGCCGGCAGCAGCTCCCAGCGAGAGACGGGTGATTTGTCTTTCGGGAAGATGAACGCCCAGCGAACCCAAGTGTGGGGTGGTTCTGCTCGGTCACATGGGCCCGCGGGCGTGCACTGCAGGCAAGGTTCTGGCAGGCGATGCCAGGACTGCACTTCGGTGCCGCTGGCTTAGACTGCGAAGGAGCCCTGGCGGCGTAGTGTTTGCGCATCGGGCTGCTAACCCCAAGGTCGGCGGGCTGATACTACTAGCTGGTCCTCAAGAGAACTCTTCCCGTGAAGACGTGAAGAGTTAGTCGTCAGACACCCATAGGGGTAGTTCCACCCTGTCTTATAAGGTTGCTATGAATCGTCATCGATTAGATGACATTGAGTTTGTTTTCCCGGGTTTCAATCTGTTATATAAAGAGGAGTAGGGACCAGAGCCAGATGCGAGGGCACGCACTTAACAGCCTGGACCATAGGGCTAGGTGATTTTAACCGTTGCTCTGCACTGCCTCCTGCAGGCCAAATGAGTATCATGCACAGAGAGAAGAACGCATGGATGGATGGATGGATGGATGGATGGATGGATGGATGGATGGTGGATGGATGGGTGGGTGGATGGATGGATGATGGGTGGATGGTGGATGGGTGGGTGG